CATTCGGGAGAGGATCGAGAAAAAAAACATCGGAGGCGAGACGGGTCACTGTGGAAGAATTGGCCAGGACTGAGCGAACTATCGAATGCGGTACCGGGAGAAACCAGCCGAACTATCGCAGAATCCGGGTAACTAGTCGAATTCAGCCGGTACTGGTCAAGTCGCTTTCTATTGTCGGTACAGTGGGTTGATCGGTAGGAGTGGGGAATGCCTCGCGAATTCTTTCTTCCAACTCTTGTTGAATCAGCGATCATGTCTAATCGGAAAATCCTCACAAAAGAGCGCGATCCCGCGATAAACGATCGGAAGGAGTAGATTCCATCCGAAGAGATAAATCGGATAATCCACTGTAAACAACTCGTGGTCGCCTGGATGATTCCTCCGGGTAATCCCCGGAGCTCCGCAGTTCCGTGTTGGCGGAAGTGTCGAACTCTACGACATTAGAAGCATAGCGAATTGAGACAAGCGAGCAGTGAATCAGGAGCGAAGTGTGAGAAACGAACCAAGCATGAGAGTTCGGAATGTTCTTTCGGAAAGACTCCCCTGGCCGCCGGCGATTACGAAGAGAGCTCGACGTTCAGTCGTTTCCCTGGAAGGGAGCGATAACAGTGATTCAAAAAAGCAAGGATGACGTTGGATACTCTTAATGCGCGCTAGCTGGTGACATGAGAGATGGCATTGGGGTTCCGTCATGAAAATCAAGCTGTGATAGACGGCGCAGCGACTCGATGGGTTCGCACGAGATTGACCACCTGACGTAGTATTATCGGCTGATTCGCCCGCCATGAACAAGCCGGCATTGGAGCGCGCGCCTGGGAAGCCGGGTGAATTCATGGTGAATATTTATGGCCGAGATACACGCGTCATAAACTCATTCTCCGCGATTAGCCCGTGAATCTTAGATTCCGTTCCTTCGGCATTTATGCATGCGTCAATTCTGCCCTCAGTGTTGTTCGTCGTCATCGGGGCCGCCATTGTCGCTGACACCGATCTTTGGGCAGGGAATCGAGAACGGCTTCGAATCCAATCAAAACATTGCAGCTATCGAAGGAGCAGCGCCTGCTCGATTGAGCTCGAAATTATTTTCTCGGAGAATGTTCTCACGGGAATTCCGGCCGCCCGACCCCTCTGTGGAACTCGACCGACGGGCGGACTCAGCAATTGTCGAATCTAATCTGTTCCGACCGCTACTGGTTCGCGGTCTCACACTCATGATGATGAATTTCAGTACGAAACAGCGAGGGCATGCTCGTGAGAATTTTTATCATGGGCTGGCGTCGGTGACAGCGGAGGCGAAAAAAACATCACAAAAATGACGGCGCACATCCGTCATAGCTTTCGCGACGATACCTCTCTCGAAGCGTTCCGTGTAATCGGAGACTCAAAACGGAAACGGGAAGTGCCACACGGGAGGAGCGGAGTAGCGGAGGCTCATTCACTTGATGGGGAGTCTGAATTTCTTAAGCTTTCGGGGCTCTCGCAGTTACCCCAACTGGTGAGTTCTTCACCGGCGGAAAAATGCCGCCTTCACCGCGTCGACATGCTGGAGCGCTTCGCTGACCATTCCTCCTTCGGAATGTTCGATTCGAGTTCGTCCGTGGCCGTTGACGTATCGCTTTTCGCTGTATTTTAAATGGCTCGGCGAACTTCTCGATCACTTCGAACACATTCGAACCGACGATCTCGAGCATTTTTCGGCCGAGGTGATCGGACTGCCGCGACATCGGAGTCCAATTTCTTGAACTCGGCTCCACTCTCGAGAGGTCTGGGATGTCGATGGTTCAATTGATCAACGGGGTCTCGTTTCACTGAGAATTCACCAGAGCTTCGCGCAGCTTCCGTCTCATTTTTCTCCCGGATCGGAAGTCGGTGTTCTCGGCATTGAGCGTCGTCGTTCCTGTCAAGCTAAAGCTCGACTCCGGGATAGGGGACGTTTTTTCCTCGTGAATGACGCATGGAAATTCCGAGAAGGCGCCCCATCTTTCACAGAATGACACGAATTGTTCGTCGTCCCAGGTAGATCGGCTCGGGAACTTGTGAATCTTCCGTTGAATTTATCGTAAACCGTTTGACAGAGTAGCGGAACTTGCATCAGGGAGATCTCCACCGATGATAACCGATTAGAGCTCTTGGACTTGTGTGTAATGGTCCTCCTCAAATGCCTGTTCGACGGTCATTAGCGAGAAGAGTGTTAGGTCTATTGTGTTGAATTTATTCAATTGACATGTGCTCTCGTTCTCGGGGCGAGTGAAGAAATTTCAAGCCGAGCATGTCGAGATGGCTCATCCTCCGCGGTGTAAGGAAGAGCGAGCGGTAGGTTCGCCGTCTCTTGGGGCAAAGTGCCTGCCCGGCCATCAACAAACAGACGAGTGAGTGAGTGAGTGAGGCGAGTTTTGTTAACCAAGAGAAACTAGGCGACTAAGTACCTACCATATGGAAAAGCTGCCGGGGCCATACGCCGGCCGCCGGGAGAATGACATCGCTAGCTTTCTCGTTCGCTATCGAGTTTACTCCCGGCGGCGGTAGCTCGCGGTGAGGCAAACCGGCGGCTCGCTTCGTATGCGGTTACCAGCGGGCCGACGATCGCGGCGCCGGCGGGTTGTAAAACAGGCAGCTCAGACCGGCCCAGTCAACTGAGCGAGCAAGGTCTTGTTCACGGCTGCCTAGCTCTGAGCGATCTTAAGATAAAAGACCTAATTGCCCGTTGGCCCTTGTTCACACTTCGCACTTCATATCTATCATTCACTTATTACAATGGAAGCGAGAAGTCCCTGAGGCTTCTACAGAAATGCGATCGAGACTTCCATTCGATTCGAGTTCTTTCAACTTCTGCCGCGATGAAGAATAAAGCGAAACAAAGCTTTCCATCCCGGGCAGCTTGGGATCCAACGTAGAAATTCCAGATTTCGACCGGTTTACGCAGAAATGATTAGAGTCCGGAATTCCGCCCGGATTCGCGACGGTCTTCCGATACGTTCTCTTCCCAGCGCAGCGCCGCACTATCCTCGGTGCGCGTCTCTCTGGAGGCGTCTCGTGTCTCCTCATGGAGACGACATTCGAACTAGGTGAGGCTCTGTAGGCAAGCGGTAGCAGGAGAAAGCTGTTCCCCGCCAGTGTGTCGCACCCCCCCTTGTGACTCGCGGAAGGATCGGATGCTCGATTTTCAGTGTCGATTTTGAGAAACAGAACTCGATGGAAACGGGGAGATCTCTCATGCACGTTGACGAGCATCGACTTTACAGTGGTCTAATCGGGTGGACGTTGAAGGGAAGGACGCTCTCTCAATGAGCCTCAAAGAGTTCCGGAACTTCATTCGGATGTGGACTGGCCCCTGCTCGCGTCAGGGGGGGTAAGCTTCCGTGTGTCGGTCTTCTGAGAAAGGAAAACCGCGGGTAGTTCCCTAGTTCCAAGGGAATCCTATGAGGTAATTCCAGGAAGGGAAACGATCGGTGAGGGTCTTCGTCATCGGCTCCCATCGGGATATCCCTCGAGGGGCGAACTCTGCGATAAATTCATGGCGGGGGTCCTTTCAAGAGCGGGGTCACACATTGACGGACGAAGACACGCGGGCGCCGTCCGTGCTCACACCGCACCATCTCCGATCGGAGACCCATCGAATGCGGTTTCAGTCAATGAGAGCTACTTGTCTCTGTGGTTGCCTTGTCGAAATACGTCGTCGTAAAGCGCTTTCGCGAAGCCTGAGTCTACCTTATCGACTTGTGGTCAAATTACAAGATAGACAAAACACGAATTACGCTCGGGTTCCCGTACTGCGGTGGCCGGCAGTGCGAAGCTCGAAACGATCAGCCAGAAGAGCCACGAGGAACAGCTGGACAAACGGATAGTATTTTCGGATGCGTAACCTTGCGATAAGATTATTCGTGTCTCTGAATAGTATGACGTGCTGCCGATGGATCAGCTGTAGATCCCGAGATCAGCTCATCAGCATTACGAAATCGGCCGCAGCTTTCGAATCACAGTGAGCGAATCAGCGAATCCCCGGGATCTCACAGAAGTGTATGAGGGAAGTTTCGTAATAAGAGCGTGTGGACTCATCGGGTCTCTTGCCGTCACGTGCGAGTTGTCTCGGACACCCGATTGCTTCCGAAACGCTCTTATCGAATCGGCAGCTTCCAGTGGCACGCTTCAGGAATATGCATCAAGTCCACTGCTTGACGAAAGCATGAGCTCCACCGGGCAACTCCTCCTCGTCTCCGTCCGGGTCTCTGTCCTATCCCAGTGGCTCGCGAATTTCGGTATCAATCGGAATCCATTGATGGAGCTCTGGAAGATGGCGGCATCTGAATCGTCTCTAATTATTGCTGTTGGACATCTGACAATGAGTCATATGATTTCTTCGATGTGGGATCTCAAGTTTGCCGTCCCTCGAGAGAGAGTCGCTGTCCTCGCGACTAGATGTGAGACCTCTATTTAGTACGAGATGGAGATCTCCTGGGTGCTTACAGGTGCCTGTCATCAGGTTTGGCAACAATGGCGCTAATAGAGTGAGCGGGGCGATCAGGTGACAGAACGGTCTTTGCCGGCCTCGATGAAAATCATGATACTGCCGAGGTCTGCCTGAGAGATACCGGCATCGACAGACATGTGAAACTCTTTGGAGCAAAGCAAAGAAAAATTCTATTTTAGTGAACCCTCACCATGATTTCACGACGTAACCTAATTTCATTTCGAATGCGGGGCCTGGATTGCGCGAAGCTTCCTGACTCGAACCGCCGGGATGGCAATGCCGCGTGGCCAATACGGAGGCCGCACTCTGACGAGTCGATGTGTCCTCCGGGGGCTTATCAAACGTCTTGTGCGAGGATAAACATTCTCCGGATGAAACATTCCGAGTCAATCGTTGTCATCGGAATGGGGGACTCGATCACCGGTTGTGTTGTGGGACAACATGACTCGTGTCGCCTCAGTTCAACTGCCTGAGCTTGAAACCTGCATGGAATGGGAGAAAGAAACTCTAAAGGAACATTTCCTCCTTTCAGGACCCGTTTTTGTAACGAGTGCACCTCAAACCGTTCCTTTGAACGTAGTCAACACATCTCCCAAATCTGTAGTTGTCCTCGGGTCAAGCGATAGCGATGGACTGCGGCTCGTGACCCCAGAGAAACCTGTGGGTGCTGGCAAAACCTGCACCGTCAAAGTAAGTAGTGAACCATTTTCATGAATAACCACAACAGAATAAATACCTAATGCTCTTCAAAGTTACTTTGAAGTGCCGCCCGAAAACTGATACGGAAAAAACGTGGTGTGGAGGTTGTACCACATTCTCTCTAATCGACTGATCATCCTCAAGGTCGCCCTCGAACCCGAACGTTTATCCAAGGGTAGCGGTAAACTGCTACTGAAGAGTGGAAAATTTAAACTCCAAGTGCCGTATACGATACAGCTCCTCAACGGGAGTCTTCAGGCGGCCAACTCTCTATTCTACATTGGCGCTAAAGGCAAGCGCGCATTTTCCGTCGAAGTCAAGAATCAAGTCAATTCAGGACTTCGCATCGATCGGGTGAGTCTCCCAAGAGTTCCTTCCCATATTCCAGTAAAAAGGAGGCTTCATCCCACCATGCTTCCTCCCAATCGATATTGGGTGATTATAATTCCGGGGCCAGCCGAATCGACAGTTTCTACTGTGAGAAAAAAAATCCTGAGTTTTTTAGCTCGGAGCTGGAAGAGCAGCTTAGGTACTCGAAGTCGGTCATGAGTCATGACGACTCGCAGGATGTTCGGTGGTTTCCGGAGAGAACATTTGTGGATCTTGGCTGAGTTTGACAGAACATATACATTTGCCCTATAAGAGCATAAAAATGGCTGAAGAATGTGTGATGAGCAGCTCCGGAGATCATCTCCTGAGAGTCTCTACGACCTGAGGCAGCGAACGGGAGACTTTCCGACCCGGACATCCGCTCGCCCAGATGTTCTCCGCATACACCTACTGGAGGATCGTTCCTCTCGATTTTCAAGATTCTTTGGTAGATTGAGGAACAATAAATGAATAATCTGTCACTGGGAGACGTTGCGGTGTGAGCCCATCGAAGTCGACAGACAGTAGATTCATCCGATCCGGGGAATCTACCTTGGGTTCTCAGATCTCTCAGTCAGATAGAACTCTGATCCCTATCGATGATGATTGGGCCAGAAGCAGAAGACACCGCCGATCAACGACTCAAAACAATTTTTTTTCTCCTAGATCCTAGTCGGATCCAAAGAGATCGATCCCCCCGCGACACGGGTCGTCGCGAAAAATGCCTCCGTGCAGATCGATTTCCCCGCACCTGCAAAGAACTCCAAGAGCTTCAACTCTACGATGCGAGTGCTCACCAACGTGACTGAGTTTGTTTACGACCTAGTATTCTATTCGGGGAAGCTCGACATGCTCTTTGAGAATAAGCCCGTGACGGACAGGGTGGATTTCGGAAACCTCGGCATCAAGCAGAGAAAGGAGTTCACGCTGGATTTCTATAATGCGAACCCGCTCCAGGTAAATTGCTCTCTCCTACCGATTATGCATCGGGCAGCCCCCTCCCGATTCCCGCCAGATCGGGCTCTTTGTGATGATCGGAGGGTTTCAACGGCGATCATTCCTTTAAATTCAGATACAGATGGATTTCGTTGCGTCGAATCTGAGCTCAGCGGTTTTCGCACTGCCATCACTTCCGCCATGGATACTCGTGCCATATGGGAGTCTTCAGGTCACGCTCACAGTCGGCTCGCCCACCGAGGGTCAGGTATGGGGTAATATCGTGGCCAAAACCGACCACGCAGTGCAGGTTTGGCTCTGCGGATTCCAAGCGAGCAAAGGTTAGTGGGGGTTTGCTTTTTCGCAAAGCGTCACTCTTTCGAAAGAGGAGCAAGAATAGGCGAGAGAAGATTAGGCTTCCGCGCATTTTTCCTCCCGTGGGAGGACTGGACGTTTCCCGCGATCTTCGGCGATGGGTCTCGTCTGCATAAAGGAACTTCCATTCCAGGGACAGTAACGGCGGCTGGGATGAGCAGTAGCCGTTTGATCTCAGTCGAGGGAGCGTTCCCGTTTAGAAGTTCGGCAGAACCTGTGTATCTTGAGAGCACCTTCGATGAACCCCTGGTGGTGACCAGGGCCCGCGTAAAAGATGAGAGATTCCACATGGTTTTAGTCGACAGCCCGGTTCTACACCCCGGGGCCAAGAGTTTACTGGGAACTCTCAAGTGAGTATAAGATTTATCTCATCCAGTGATGATTGATATGAATTTCATTCAGAGCTTTTTTCGACACGGCTTGGCGAGCCTCACACCGAAGTTGTCAAATTGTGACAATATGGCTCCTCGTTTGCCTTCTCGTGTTCCTCCCTCCGCCCCAGCATCACGCTGAAGCCGTCTCAAACTTCTGCATCCCTTCCGCAGATATCAACCTGTCTGTACGCAGTGTTACGTAGGACTCGGTGGTCCTCTGGAAAGTTCCACAACGAAAGATCTCTTTCTCTGGAGAGAAATGCAAGAGCGACTGAAGGAGGCCAAATCTGTGAATGCAACACTGGTCGTCGATACCCAACAGATGAGAGGATTTGTGATTCCCATAACGGTGAGAGGATTTTGCGCCGCAGGAGCGTTCATGTCTAATGAGCGGCGAAATGAAGGGTTGTGGCCGAAACTCTGACATGCAAGTACGGCTACCGCAATATCGGGCACGGAAGCGAAAGCTCACTCGGAGCTTCCGTCGCGGCACTTCTTTTCCAATCCCGAAGCGGAATTCAATGAGACGAATCGATTCGATCGATGCCGTGCATCCTTCCATTGAATCGCTTGAAGGTCTCCCATCGTTCCTTGAACAAAGAACGCGATGATCCACGGATGGCGAATGGCTGTGGAATAATCTTATAGGTACAAAAGGTCGTTGTTTTCTGTCTCTTCGATGTTCCATCGGAATGCTCGAACAACGAACGCAATCGATGCGCAATCGGGAATGTGCGTTCCGAAGGAATGCGGAAAATCTTCTACCCACTTCCGAAATGAAAATCCCCTAGTAGACAATCATCATAGGCCGTCCCTGGCCCGATGACGCTCCAACAGGAGGCGTGCACGTTGTGTACGAGCGTGCGAATGGTGTCTTGCTCGGCGTGGCGACCTGATATCGGCAGATCCACTTTGCTTACGAAAGCGAGAGCTCGCTAACCGGATCCGCCGCGTTCTTCTCCGCCGCCGAGTCGGAGCGAAGAGCTCGACGGAGCCTGAAAGGGAAGCTTATGAAACCACGAGCTCCGCGTAATTTGTTATTCCATCTCTGAGCGTCTTCTTGTTATTGATGATTCTGAACGAGAGCGGTGTTTCTGCTTTCGTTACGGTTGCCGCCGATTTCGAGACCATCTTTCATAAAGCGAATGAAGGTCGCAGATGTTGTCCGAGTAGCATTCAAGCGGGAACCCGTGAGCTTTACGAGTCTCTTTAGCATCTCTCCGAGGAGCGACCGAGAAGGGACACAAAGAGAGAGAGCGGCTCTCTGCGACATGAATGTGTTCCTAGTTCTCATTGCCGGGCAGATGACTGTGGAAGAAGTTCGGATGTACCGTCTGCCATAGATCCAGGTCCCGATACGCAGATCGCAGACCCGTCCCGCAGATCCAATGGAAATGTTTCGGTGGGACTCCTTCGGCTTACGAGCGGCCCTCTTCCTCTGCCTGCAGGTGTCTCATGTGTGGCCCAGAGTGACGGCGCGGGGCGCTGTGCGTTTCGACACGATACAACTGGGCAACGCATCGTACAACCCGGTCATAGTTGACAACCCGTCAGACCAGCCATTAATGGTCCAAGCGTACATCTCTACTATAGGAGGTCCCGAAATCAACGCAATTGTCGGCGCACAGCACTGTAAGTATTCATACTTAGAAGCTGCTCTCTTCGCTCTGTTCCAATGAATTTCCGGTGCCCGAAAATCGAAGCTTGAATTCGACTCGTTGCAGAGCAGCGTCAAACCTCGCACATGCAATTTCCGCGGACTGATGCATCTTACTTTTTTCAGCGATGAAACTGCCCTCGCACTTATCAACGGCGTTCAGCATCGAACGATCGGTACAATATAATTTGTTGATGATTCCTCCGAAATCGAAAAAACGGATAATGGTCCGGTTCGAACCGACAACCATTGGTAGCCACGTCGGAGTTCTTGTGGTGCGGAATAATCTGACTGCGGTCAGCTCAGTCATCCTCAAAGGAGAAGGTGGCATCGGAAAGCTCCTCCTCGCGGGCCAAGAGCCTGGTGGAACTATTGTGTTTGATATCAATGCTTCCTTGTTGAAGGCGAGTTATCTTTCTCCTCATAAGCGGCCGTGGGAAGCCATGTATTCCGACTATTCCCTACATGCACTTGGGTGCTTCTGACTCGGCAGGAGAGAATGACCTGGCTTTCCTCTGAATTGGTGATGCTGTTCCAGGACTGTCTCAGTCTGGGAGTTTACAGCACTCTGAAAAAATACCCCGTGGCGAAGAACGTCGGACATCTCCCGATCAGAATCCGGAAAGTGTTGATAAACAACCAACCTTGTGTCGGATATGGCTTCAGAGTTAGAGAGTGTGACGTCGATGATTCCGGATTCACAATAAAGCCAAATGCGTCACACCGCATCGAGATGAGGTTAGTCGACGGCTCGGAATTTCTTGCTCTGAGCTCGAAGCGCTCCCGAGCTCAAATCGGATTACTCAAATCGAATTGCTCTCGGACAAATTGAGACTAAGGTACCATCGTCAACATCGACCCTTATGAATTTCCAGCTTCACGCCGGATTTCACGGTTTCTCGTGTTGAGGTGACCTTGACGCTCGTTCTGGAAGAATCAACATTGGACTTCAATCTCGTTGTGACTCTACCGAAAAGTACGTTTAGGACGTTCAGGAGCTTGCCCTTCGTTCTCCTTGAAAATATGAAACTTCGAGGATTATTCGGCGTACTCACTAATCATGCTCTCTCGTGACCCGACAGGCTCTGTGTCAGCGTGCGCGAATCAACAAGTGCGACCCGTATGGGAAGGAATATTTTACGCGCTGTGTCTCGTGGGATCTCTTTTGATGGTTTCGTGTACCGTCGGTTTCGCCTTCCTCGAATCGAATCGGGTGCTCCAGGAAACGCTGTTCGAAGCTCGATCGAGGTACGAACGACGTGAAATGTCCCTGCTGGAAAGGTGAGCTCATCATCGCACTTTCTGGACCGATCGTCGGATCTCGGAGCTTGTGGATAATTTCCTCGATGAAGTTCCCGACTTCTCTGATCCCTCGGTGGATTCTTCCATTCTAATCGTTGGGTTCTCTTCGCAGAATGTTCCGAACGGTCACACATTTCATACCGCGCAGCTTTTACGATACCGATGAAGACGAGCACGTGGATCACACGACGTCGGTCGCGACACAGACCGTTATGGAAGAGACGGCAAACGAACGGAAAAACTCGGCGCACAAGGAAAACCGCGGACCGTCGAACGCTCGCAGGCGAGACAGCGGAACTAGCAGCGTGCCGAATGGATCAGCTGGACGACGAGATTTACGTAGACGGAAGATCAAAGACGTGTCCGCTGAAACGGTGACCGAGCGACACCAACAGGAAACGGTGTCGCAGAGCACCTATGTATCCCAGTCTGAACCTGCCGAAGTGGAAGAGAACGATTTAGATAAGGCATCTGAACCAGAGGAACGCGAAGGATCGAATACGTCTCTAACTTATGAAGTCGAAGCCACAATCACCAAAGAAACCGATGACGAAGATGAAGCGGAGGACGTCGGACAGGAAGTCGAAACGGCCTCCGAGGACAGCTCGGAGTGTTCCGCTGAGATTCCGTCAGCTGTCGTGGAAAAATCCAGAACCGAAGTCAAGAGCAAGAGCCAACGCAGAGCCGAGAAGAAGGAGCGTCAGAGAAGGTCTTGGCAAGACTCCCTTCGTACCTCGACGTCGGCCAATCAGAAAGAGTCCAGAGCCGCCAGCGATCCCTCCGCGCGGACTCCCCCGAGCGAAACGGTGGACAGTCACAAGAAATCAACGTACGCGGAGGTATTGGTTTCTCAGTTGGAAAAACAAGATCGCAACAAGAAGCCCGAAGCGCGACAATGTCCATCTCGATCGAAGAAACTGCAGAAGTCGGTGGCCCAACAAGAAACTGCAGTGACCGGTGATCGGACGGACAACAACAATCACATCGGCGACAGCACCAACGGTGGAGATGATGTCACCCCGACCGCCCCGAATAGGAGCCCCGACTCCAAGATTCCGTCGAATCTCCACGGGAGCGGTAAGAATCCGAGGAATAATACTTCTCCGAACTCCACCGCAAACGGCCATTGTGTGTCGGGTTCAGACGCCGGAGAGCTCTCGGCGAAATCTTCATCGAGCCCGTCCCCTACCTCGAACAACATCAAGTCCCAGCTCAACACCACACCGGAATCCAAAGCCCCGTCGCTTGGGAAATCGACAAACGTGGCGAGTTCGAGTGAAAGCGCTTCGAGCCCAGCTAGTGTTGTCGCCACTCCGGCCAGACGTGACCAAACAGTACAGAGCAAAGTCACGCCGAACGGCGCGTCCGGTTCGTCCCCAACATCGACCGCTACGTCGTCTTTCCCATCGGCTTTCCTTTGGCCAAGTTTCACAAACTCGAGTCCGAAGAGCTCTGATCGTGATCCGAACTCGTCGAACAGCCCGAATAGTGGTAATTCCAGCAGCGCTGTCCCCTTCCCGATGGCGTGGACGAAACCGATTTACAGTTTCTCGTCGGCCGTCATTTCGAACACCGCGAGTCGCGTCACCACGACCTTGGCTTCGGGCTTGAGTCCCAGCAGCAGATGTTCGGCAGACAAAGAGGTCCACGCTTTCCTTGGGACGACCGCGTCGACAAGGACCACGGGCAGCACGGTGAGCAGTACTCAGGCGTCGGACGTCGAGAGCGACGGAAACAGCCCCAAACCCGACGAGCAGCAAGAGTTCGAGGACGATGGGGTGGGTGAGGAGGAGGAAACGCTGAAGTTCGACGCCAACAAGCTCTACATCGAGGACGAGGACCCGACCTTCGGCGTCGTGGAGGACGGCAAGCGCCCACCGAAATCCCGGCGGTCGCTGCCGCTGTTCAGCAACTTACTCGGCAGCGACTTGATCGGCGAAGCCAGAGACGAGCTCACCGGGTCCAAAATCGAAAATTCCACGGCCAACAACGCCGAGACCAGTGACCTGAGTCGCAGCAACAGCAGTGCCGGGCACAGCAGCGTCAGTAATGTGAGCTGCCGAAGTATCGCGAGCAGCAGTCCGAGTAGCGATGTGGTCGTCGCAAACAGCGACCCGAGCAAATCGAGCATCAGCGGTTTCGGCGCTGGTGGGAATCTAGCAGCGAACGCGATCATCAGCTCGATGAAGAACAACAATGCGACGCTGAACAACATCGGGGGCGTGGACGGGAATAACGTGCCCACTGCCAACGCGGCCCAGGCCGCCTCGAATTTCGAAAACTCGACATACGCCGAGAACTCATTGTGTAACAGTATAAACAGCATCTTGAATAACTTGAACAGTGAGAACAACATGGATAGCATCAAGGATTTCGGTTCGAACACATTCATGACCAGCTCCTACCGACCCCAAAACGCTGCGTCGGTCAACCCGACCGACAGTAGGGCTTGCTGCGCTTTCAGTGGAGATCTGCGTCAAAATATACCGCAGCAACATCTACAACACCAACAGCAAGCGCGTTCGAGGGGTTCGGTGAACATCATCACCGATCTCAGCACTCCGCCGCCCGGAGGCAAATTCAATAAATCCGAAAGCAACAAAGGCCTCGCTGTGAAAAACAATCACAACAACAACATCAACAAGAACACCAATAGCGACAAGAACATGAAGCACTCGCAGCAACCCAACAAAATGGGCATCATCACCGACATCTGCGGCACTGGCCCCAGCTCTGCCGCGAGCAAGTTGGGTAATGCGGGCTTTCTGGGCGATCACGGCGGAGGCCCAGCGTCCGCGCAGGCCAACATCAGCTACTCCGCGGTGGTTTCTGGCGGAATCGGAACGAATGCGAACAACCACGACAGTTCGATGAACAGCAGGAGTAACTTCGGCCAGAACATCAACAGCAACAAAAATCTCAACAGCAAAAGCATCCAAAGCGTCAACGAGTCCAACAGGAGCAAGAGCCATATCGGAGCCGCGAGACGCGGCAACCCTCCGCCGGGTTTCGGCTTGAGCCCCTACGGCTCGAATCCATCGGCGCCCATTACGCAGACGGCTTCGGCTTCAATGAGCTACATGATGGGCTTCGGGAACATGAACGCCGACAGAAGTTTCGGTAGACTGCAGAGTATGCACGGTGCCGCAGCCTCGTCTTCGGCCTCATCGTCGACATCCACAACGACTTTGAGCTCCAAAACGTCAGGGATCGGAACCGACCAGAGCGAGGAGCAAGAGATGGCTCCGTTAATCAGGAGCATCATCGACTCGGTCATTCCTTCATCGGACAGGGACGACCGCGGCTCGATGCATTGGGCGCCTTCAAACCAAAGTAGTTCGTCCAACGCGAGCGGCAACGCCAGTCGGAGCAGCAGTTCGCCGGCTTGTCAAGTGAGTTTTGGGAAAAAAAATCTCTCGAGGGAATCGAAGCGGGGTCTTTTTTCCCCGTTCGATGCGTCCGTGCAAGTTCGACTTCAGCAAATTCTACCCAATACAGTTGCGGCGATGCGACGGCTCTGAGCTGACACACGGCTACTTACTTTTAGGTTTGGGGAGCAGAGAGCCCGTGGATGGGCAATTCCAGCTCGTCTGCCACTGTCGCTGCAGCGGCCCCACCGTCAACAGTGTACCCGGTATTCTTGCGTAGGACTCCCGATCGGGATCCTGAGCGCGAGAGACGTGAACGAGAGTTCGACCAACAACAGAGGAGGGCTTGGAATCAACAACAACCCTCCTCGCAGCAGCAGCACCTGCACCAGCATCCTTCAGCTGTGCAGCAGCAGCATCAACCGCGGCAACAGCAGGAGCAGCCGCAGCAGGTGCCTCAATCGCAGCATCTACATGCTTCCTCTCAGCTCAATCCACCGACAATGTCTCCAACGAACGACTACAGCTACACTGGTAAGTCAGGAAAAGTCCCTCCAAGAGATTTCGGAAATTCTTCGCACTTTACCGCTAGGCACTCTTTGAATGCGAATCAGTAAATCCGAATCAATGATGATTATATGGGCATTCGTATCCCCGACCGGGATTCGACATACGGTCAGCGGCGTATGCGGGTTTTTTCCTTGGGGGGGGGGAGGGGGGGCTAGATTGAACCTCGGGCGGGGCTAAGATTCCAAGATGGCAGCCCTTTCCTGTGCTTCACCATTGGGAAGAACAAATGTTGAGGGGGCTATAGCCCCCTCAAATATAGCGAAAAAAATACGCCACTGCATACGGTTGATCATGAATAAGGAAGGAAATACACATGTTCTGGGAATTCGGCTGATGCGATACCTGGTGAGGGCGCTGGGATTGATTGATTGATTCGCTCAAATTTCTAGGCACCGGCGTTTGGACGACGACCCAGCCCGGCTCCACGGAGCCTCCCGTGTTCCCGTCACCGATCGGTACGCCGTGGACACCTTTCCAAAGCCAAGCACTGTCCCTTCCAGCGTTGAGAGCGCTCGGTTTGAACCGGGGCATGAAGAAAAACCAATAGAAGCATTCAATGTGATCTCAACTGTCACCTTCTCAAGAGGTCGTCTCGCAACATCAACATTTGGAGCATCGTTGCTCGGAGAATCCTCACACCCTCGTCTTCCGGCGTCCGCCTACGGAGAAACACCCGGCAGCGCCCTCCATCCTTTGGGGGAAGATGCTTGTCGTAGGCCGTAAATGGGAACTGTCGAGGCGATCTTTATTCGCCCCCTCTGTGGATACATACTTAAGCACGAGAGACACTTTGCGTGTTTTTCGTTGTAGCTCATCTTCACTCATTGTAAAATTCAACAATATCTGGCAGACGTGGAACCGGGAAAAGCTCGTACAGAAACATACCAGGGTATGGATTTCCAGCCCGTTTGGTCCGACGCCAAAACCCGATATGCGAGTGACCGTGGTCCAGGCGGAACAGCAAACAATCATTCGATGAGAGCGCTCGTGGAATGCAGGGTCGGTTTTCTCCATTGGTCGTCATAAGTCATAACTATCATTACCGTCATTAATCATTAATTCCACGATGTTGAGTATTCGCATCACCTGAAGTTTTGTGTGGTTATTTATTCGCTTGCTCGCTGATGAATGATGCGTGAATTGAGAGAGACTTCGCTACGGGGCAAGCCTATCTCGGAACGACCTATCTCTCGTCTGCCTGATACTTACATAATGATGATAACGATGATGGTGATGATTGGAGAAAAACAAATGAAAAGTATTTATGTCCTAAAGTGTATCAAAGAAATCATTCTCCCTGTGAGTCGCGAGTTGGTGAGCTCTGTTGGCAATCTCGCATTGGTCTTATTATTTTGTTCGGGGGGAGCTTACGAGCTGTCTGATGGTGATTTGAGCGATCGATGGTGTACAACGGCACCATTCAGTTCCCCATAAGCTCCCAGCAGAGCTCGGACGCAGCGCTCGGTGCATTGATGGAAGTCCGAGGGAGTTCTCCAAGAATCAAGGACTTGAAGCTTTACTCGTTTTTTCCACGTCGGTTCTGCTGGAAAATTGGTTTCCTTTATTTCTCCGTGCGTTCTGCCCAGGTCGATCCCGCAGCAGAGAGCGGGCGGGAGGGGTTGAGGTGAATTTGGACTGGTTGATGAGATCGAGCCTTCCCGGACGGAGGCCGCGAGGCTGTCGGATGGAGAAAGAATTTTTGAATGTCCCAAACATTGATATAATGAAACAAGGAAACAAACCAACCAACCAACCCGTAGGGTAGAATACGATGATCGCTATCATGAACGTTTCGAGGAGAGGCGAGTGCGTCATGTGAGACGATTCTTACGGCGGAAATACTCAGAAGGAGCAGAATAAAGAAGCTGTTTGAACACAAGGTTTTTTCTAAATTCATTTTGTCCATCAGGAGGTCGCTAACAGCTGGCTGATCCCTGATCCCGGTGCCCGGTGCCATCGATATCATAGGGAGGAAGGGGAGGAACTTCGTCCTTGATTGTGGTTTCAGCAGATGAAGTGAGAAGCCGTCACAGAGGGCGAAAATACCTGGATATATTCTGGCCGACAGCCTCGCCTGAGCTCAAGGACTCTGGCCAGTTAAACTGACCCTTTAATGCATAGCAGATCCTCGTAGAATGCAAACAAAGTCTTTTCCTGTTCCCGTGGATCTTTCGAGCTCTCGATTCAATAGAAATTTCCCGGAACGCCAAAGAAGGCTAAAAAGAAGCTTCAGCCCTCTGGATTGCCCATCACGCCGTTTCGTCGATTGGACAAGCATAAGTTCCGAGGGGATGAAAATATGAAGCGGATAACGAAGCAATCCGCTCGTCGACTCGTCGCTCACCCTGACCACTATCGTTGGCTCCGGAACCAGACGCTCAGCCTCGAGAGAGACCGGGACGGAGAGGAGGGAAGTTCCAGTGAATCTGTGCGTGGAGCCCGGATCAATATAATGGAGGCAGCCACGGCTGATCGGACAGAAACCTCGGTCACTCCGTATGTTGAATCAGCAGATCCGACTGGAGCTCAATCCAATACTGCGATAGCCGAACGGAGAAGCGAGGGTGCGGCAGCTATTCGCGTGAGCCGCCCGCGAATCCTCGGAGCACGCAAACTGATCCTCTGGAAAAAACGAGCACAATCGCGCAAGTCAAGTTCGGCGAAGAATACCGTGGATCCACCCAGAACTAGGGAGTCGGGACCCGCGGCGGCGGAGGCGGCATCCGATGGAACGACGAAAACGGCAGATCTCAGTTTCGGACCACTGAGTTTCCTCAGGACTGGCTTGCAGTTTTTCAGACGATGTTCAACTCCGCAGAGCCAGGGAGCGGTACTGAGACAGCCCGCTCCCGCGGAGCACAGACTTACGGAAAATGCAGAAGTCAAACCAACTAAGGTACAAGGAGGGCGCTTGGAAGCTCACTCAGCTGCGCCCATTCTAGAATGTTCACGAGCTGGGACAGAGGCCGCTAACGTTCGAACAGAGCCCCCGAGAAGAGTCGTGGTGAATCCGAGAATTAAGAAAACAATCCTCGATGGCTCTACGGGGCTATCATCGACCCACAGTTTTGAGAATTCCGCATCCACGGGAACATTGTTTAAGCCCCGAGGATCGAGGCGCAAACTTCGGGGCACTAAAGGAAACGGAAGGAAAGCGGCTAGAGAAACCTATGAAGACCTATCCAGGGTTGGATTCTCGGAGCGGGGTATCAAGGAGACCTCTTCCACATCACCGAGGGACTTCCCCAATTCAGAGCGAGACACCATTCCGAGTTCCGGGGAAGTCGCTGCTATTTCCAAGTCGTCCAGTGCAGGCAGAGAAGACCTGAAGCGCAGAAGCTCGGAAATGCGCACGTCAGACTCGGCCGCCGAGGGCTCGACATTACAGAGTCCCATGGCAATTTCGCCGATTGCCGGGCCTGATACGCAGCCGGCTTCATCCGACCCCGGAGCAAAGAAGCCGAAGTTCGTCTCTTCGCCTTCTGAGGCTCCGGTCCGCCTTAATCTCGATTCCGTGGACGAATCAGCGGTGATCGAAGAAATAGGGCGATCAGAGAGATTAGTAACAGTTCCGGAACATCAAGGTCGCGGAACAACAGCACGGAATCCTCGTGGTCAGAAATCGAGCTCCAGCAAAACGGCGTCCGGCCTCGGAGCGACGTCTTCCAAAATCGAAAGCCTGGGATTGCAGGAACCGAGCGACCCTGCGAGAGTAAGCGACCCGCAGGGAGCGGAAGATGCGGCCGGCCCCGATGTCACCAAGACCCAGCTCCCGGAGACATCCGATAGTTTGAGAGGATCGGCCGTTGTATTGTGTGGTGAGTCCAACGCGCGACCTCAACTTGAGCCGAACAGGAAGACCTCGGTCGATCTTTCGGCGAGCCTGCGAATGCCGTCCGCGATTCCAATCACAGGGCCCTTGAGACGGATTCTACCACCGTCGAGGGCTTACGAGCGGGGAATTATCCTCCCGAGTAGGCCTCCGACTCCCATTCCGCTTCTCGACGGCCGGCCGACTGAACCTCGAAACGCCGGAACTCTCGCATCGACTTTGCTGAAACCGCGCGGAGGAGAACGGCTCACAAACCCCTCTCAGGAGCAACCCGATCGAGAGAATCTGGCCGTGGGGCTGCATGTATGTCGTGAGGGGGAGGAGCGCAATGTATTAACCGAGACAGGGACGTCGGAAAGGAGTTCAGAGACGGCCAACATTTCCAATGGAATGATGAATGAGGCGGTGAGCTTCCCATCGGGGCCGACGAGAGAGGCGGCTGATCAGAGTCTCAACGGTGGGGATCTTTGGTCACCAATCCCCGATCCGAAAGTGCCGGTTGTCATGGAACGCTCGGAGCTCTGGGGAGTTTCCAGTCAAATGAATTCAATCCTCTCACGAGATTCTCCAAGGGAATCGGTTCCGGATCAGTGTCGGGAGGCGGAAAGGGAAGAAGCCGTGGCTCTTCAAGGAGGGGGAGTCGCTGGCGCTCCGATAAGAGGCTCCGATGCGGAACGGAACCAGGCAAGACAACTGCCTAACGGAGAGAGCACTCCGACGGATACTTCGATTGGGGCCACGAAAACGAGACCGAACCGCTGCCCTGTAAGAGATCAAGTCCTTTCAATGCTCTCTCTGTCTGGCGAATTTCCCTCGTATCATTGAAATTCTCGCTCCGAAGGAACGGCCTACGTGGACTCAACACATCACCGGAGGACCGAAGCGAGCGAATCATGCTGCGGTTTATTATAAGAAGAAAATCTTCATTTTCGGAGGCTATCGGCACATTCTGAATAACTATCGCCTGCGACCGATGGACGTCTTCGTATTCAACACGGAAACTCTCAGATGGACGACGAACAAAGTCTCTCAAACGTACCTTCCGTTCGAATTGAATGATTACCGTCTGAATACGTGGGTGAACGTCTCTCGTTCAAGGAACGTTATGCTCATCGATGATCCGACAGCCTTCCGAAGAGTGACGAGTGGATGAATTCCGGGCTATAACTCGCTTTCTCTGACTTCAGTTACGGTCACACTGCTGTGAGACTCAAGAACAAGGTATATATCTATGGAGGGCTGAGCTATTATGAGGCGTTCACAGCGCTGTACGAATACGATCTGGGTGAGCTCTGCTCCGATTCCGTCCAGTTCGTCCTCGCTCTCCTCAATTCCCAGCCTAGAGGACAGGGTTCCGGGGAGGGAACTATGCCTAACAGTGAGTTTCGATTCACATCAGATGAAAACACGTTCACCCCTCTGGGAACTGAAGGAGCTCCCGAGAGCCGTCCCGGTTGGTCCCGCAGGCACTGCCCTGCAGTGGATGGTCACACCGCGTGTGTGATCGATGGCTCAATGTACGTCCTCGGGGGTCACGATTACAACACGAACAGAGCCTCGAACACTTTCTGGGCATTGGACCTCGCGGAGAAACAATGGAGAGAGATCGAAACCCAAGGAGGCACCACCCCCCGAGTCGATCACCATGTGGCGTGGGCGCTCGGCTCGCGTATGTACGTACACGGCGGAAGGACCCGGGGACATCTAGATGAGAGCGACGACGGGGACGAGGAATTCTGTCCGATGATGTTCTACGATGTCGGGACGAGTTCGTGGCACAAAGTGGAAGAGCGGGGAGACGTCCCGATTGGTAGAAGTGGTCATTCGGGTTTCGTACGAGGGAGAAAATTGTACATGTTTGGTGGTTTCAACTGCAGATTGAAAAAACATTTCGCCGACATGTACGAATTCGATCCAGGTAGGTGGTCACTTCCACGCAGTTGTTCCCATGTCGCAAAAAGAATGCGCTCCTGACACGGGAGCTCGCTCCTCAGATTTGTCCTTCTGGACGAAGGTTGATTGTCAGGAGATAGCAAGCCCTCCGGGATTTCGGAGACGGCATACTTCTGTTGTTTCTGACGATGGCAATGAGGTGTATATCTACGGAGGAGCGGCCCCGATGACCGAAGCGGACAAGACCTTCCATACTATGTTCCGTAGCTTTCATGAGAGTCCGCCAACTTACGTCTGCCATAACGGTGAGGTGAGGAGAGTCCTAAAAGAAAATCGGGAAGAATCGAGAAATTTCCCTTTCCCGGATCCCCCAGTCTCCACCAAATCGCTTATAATTCAAAATGAGATTCTCCGCAGCGGAAGCTCAAGATAACTTCGGAGGTTGGAGGCATGATGGAACTCGGAGACGTCTGCAAATTAGAATTCATTAGTGGGGCGACGAGAAGAGAGCACTCCGCGGATACTGCAAGAGCGACTCTCAGACGCTCCATCGTGTACATGACCGATGAAGAAGTGGACGGATTCGGAAACAAAGTGGATGAACAGCTCGATTCGACGGAGCCCCGATTTCAATTTAGGGTGAAGAGCTCCCTTATCGAGTCTATCTATCACACGGTGAAAATTTTGATGATCAAATTGAATGTCGAAGCGCGATCTGACGGGAGGAGAGCCGAGCCGCAACTACAGGAAAGTCTAGAAATCGTCCTGAAAAAAGTCTGCGAAAACGATACCGTGCCTCTTCATCCAGTCGTCAAGAATGCAATCCTTTCGCTCGTTGACAAACAGCGGTCCTATTCCGGGAGTCCTTCCGGAGAAGAGCGCATTCCAATGACCCCGAGGATGCGCGCGCTGCTCGGAAGGATCGCGAGCGCGCTCAGTAGACGGGAGATCTTTCGAGCGCTGAAGAAGGTCCATTTCTTGATACTTCTCGATTGCTTCAAACTTTCCAACGATGACCTCCTCGAAGCCGCGAAGAATCTCTGGCTGAGCCGCGCCGTTTTTGGCCGGGACTTCGAGAAGATCAATTACGAACCACTGAATCACTTTCTCACTCTTTCGGCAAGAGTGGCGCGGCCCAAAACCGTGAAGCCTACATAATGTGTATTTTCAATTTTTCCTTCATGATGAGAATGCGATGATGAGAGAGGATGACGCACACGGAGCTGAATAACTTCTACCAACAACATCTTCGAGCCAAGGGTCGTAGAATGCCGTCCTGGTCGATCATGATTGCTTCACAAGAATCGAGAATCGCATATCCGTGTAACTAGTTATGGCCGGAGACTGGGAATTAAGTTGTTTGGAATCTTCACTTATACCGAGAGATCCCTCGTGGAAGTCGCGCATTCGCCCGTAAACCACCCGGAAACTATTTTGCATCGATGGGGGGAGGGCGTCCCCTCCAGGAGGTGAGCGCAGTCACTTCTGTAGAAGATCATCGGTTCTGCGTCCTGAACATTCATCTTAGAGCGATATTCGGATGATTCACTCGGTTCCGAAGATGAAACATCAGGTCGAAGAGGGTACCCGATGAAATATTGGAGGGGATGCCCGTCGATTTTTCGACCAGACAAATTATGCCCACTCGTTAAAGACCGCCCGCCTATTCCATTCGTCCTCCAACGAGTGAATTGAGTCCGGTCACTCGTACTGATGTACCATGTATGATGAATCGGTTGAATATGCACCGCGAGCATGTCAGAAACTCAAACGAAGCCCCCGCGAGAGGATATCTGCGATCATCGCGACTAGGGTGCCCGAATTCCCTCCTCCACAGAGCCCTCCTTATTTGAGACTGCCCGTCTATTTCATCAATTCTCCGGAACCCAGCCGTTTTTTGGAGCTTGTTCGTATATTAGAGACTGTCCTCATATTCGAATTTTAACGGAAATTATGGGCTCATGTATTCTGCAGATTGCTGCGAGGTAATGTTCGAGACAGTGATCCATGACGACTGTCGAGGGAGGGATTCGCACCATACGAATAATTGTTTGCTCCAGAGTCCGCAGAGCTCAGGGCCTGAAGCTTTTTTCTGATGGTTCCCGCATATGTATCGCGGTGGTGGCTCGTTCAGAGGACTGCTACGGTTTCGTCTCTTCCGTGAGGGGCAGCGCTGAAGGGCATGGGGTTCTTAGCATCAGTTGACGGAGAAAATCGAGGCTTCGAAGGGCCCCCGTGATCGGCGAGTGTTGAACGAGCTCCCGAATTTCCAGTGCGCGTTGGGCTGCGTATCCGCTGAGGGAGTTCTGGATGGAGAAACTTCCGAATGAGATGGAACGACGGTCTGCTCTGACTGCTCTTCGATAGTCGAGAAAGAGCAATAATTTGAAGTCACCGGTTGCGACAGTTATTTCATCAGAAAATTCATAAGGAACGACGAAATGATCGAGCCCGATGGCAGACTCAGAGTCCACAACGAGCTGGATCGGGAGTCAGACGATCTCGACCACATCGATCAGCGATGATAGCCCAATTTCTACGAATACCGCAGAGGCGGTGAGCATCCTCCGGAATACGCAAGCGCACAAGGGTCCTTGCGGAGGAGTTCGAACGCTCATTTGTCTGATCGTGATTCTCTTGATCAGTGTGACAGCGCTCGTCGTCGTCTCCCTCGTGAAGTCGGATCCGAAGTCTAAAGTCACGACCGCCGACACAGTCCCATCGACAGAAGAGCCCATGTGTTTAATCCGGGAAGACTTGCAAACTATCCGATCCTGCAGCGGCTGTATCCCCCATACAATGCACACTCTCAAGACTAGCTACTCGAAAAAGATACGCGATTACGATTTCGATCAAACTTGGCTCTTCGTTCGCGACGCCATCGATGACCATCGAGTCATGACGACCGTCATCATAGACTGCTATGAAACGAACAAGACGCGACCATGTCCTGTTGTGTTCAATCAGCATTGGGTAGGCAACGAGGGAGAGGATGAGAGAACTTACTATTACCAGATAATTAAACCGTCTTACCACGAAGGCATCCACGTCGACTCGCTCCTCCCTCTCTTGGATTTCCTGTGGGAAAGAAAGGGAGAGGGTCTACTGCAGCATGGCCCGAGAAAGAAAGCACAGACGCTACGCATCTACCTCGGTTGGACTTACAAGTCCTATTTCGAGCAATTTATCCTCCAAGGTTCGCTCTCTGAATATGCTGGCGTTCTCCAAGTTCTAGGAGGTGGAATCGATATTGAGAACGTGCATACGTTCCGCGCATTCTTAACAACGGATCCCCCCGCCGAACCAGCCTACAGTTTTAAATCGTCGTGTAAAATTACTCCAAAAATGAATAGGACTTAATCAGGGAAGTATTTCCATGGGTATATTCCTGAACGTGGGGGACAGGAGCAGACACTGCGAGCTCCTATGCATTGCGTGATAAAGCCCGGTGTTCTCCTTCCTGACTCCTTCAGAAAAGGAGGGGAGGAAGATCGGGGAAGATGGAACTCTCAGGACTCTGCGGCAGTCCGGCTTATCGGGACACATTCCTTGACTAATAATAATGCGGACGTGTTGGAATTCCGATAAATTCTGAGTATTATATTTCCCTTCACTCGAACGAAAATTTTCTTCGTCATGCGTAGAGTATATGGATGGAGCTCGCGCGCGCTCGGAACAATCCCCATCGATTCTGAACGCGCTGATGAATTTCAAAGATTTTTGGGCTCGATACGTCGACCGATCCGGAATATGCCAGCCGGAAGAGAGATGCAGGAGGTCTGGCTGCAAGGAACTCAAAGATTCCGTGAGGAGAACACGCCGAATGGCCGCCGCGACGGCGCTTCCCGCGTAGTTCAGGCTATGAACCGAGCCGTTTCGAGAGTCGTGAGTTGAATCGCTCCTCGATGAGGCGATATTCGTGAAGACGGTGATCCGATTTCTTTCTGAATGAATTCAGGAAGGCCCTCGTCGAACTCATTTCGATATTCATGATGGTGGTTCCTCGAGCGATGAACATGACCACTTGGAATAGCGATTTTCCGCGAGCCCTGGCAGACCACTTTCAAAACCGGAGCGTCGAAGTTCATAAAATACGAAATGAAGGTACGTACCTACAACGATGTGGCTTGCGATTCCTAGCACAATCGACATGGAACAGAGAAGAAAACTCCTGTCGCGGAAATGCTCCGCGGAAGCTGCCCCGCCCTGACTGAGCCCCCACGCGTAGATCGTCTTGGATTGAGACGTAGCGCGTAGGTCCGCGAGGTACATTCAGTGTAGAAAGCCAATGGAAGCTCTACAGGGGATGCATGGATATGCTCGCGACTGACAGAAGGTGGAGCATCAACAAGAAACTTGATATCAAGCATGGGGCTGCGGTTCTTTCGGCCGACGAAAACCCGGAGGCATAGCGAGCGCAGCAAAGTACGGCCTTGAGGATCATGCCTGACGACTCCATTTCCCCGACACGGAGGGAACTGGAGGAACGCTCCCAATCAGAGATCGCACATGTCCCCTTGAATGGGGAAAACGCCTCGCGTCGATATGGATAGGTGGCCTCGGCGACTGACATGCACGACACTTCGCTGACCAGCCAGAGAACAATTATTAATCTCGCGGGATCTTGGAATTCAGCCCTGATCGACCATGAGTGAGGTATGATGATCGGTTCTTCTGATCCCATCCAGATTCGGAAATGGCCGAACTCTACAATACGTATAGAACGAGAGCGCAATGCACATGCAGCTCGACCGTGGGCCTGTTCATGCATTTAAAGTATCGCGGGCACGTTGCGCCCGCAGACGACAGTCTCAGAATAAACACTCTCAATTCTCAGTCTCGTTACGCATGACACGAGAGTCCTCATTGTGATAGATTTCCTAGCTTTACATGGTGTCAGAAAGTTCAAGGACAACGAAAATGACGAACGTAAACAACATCGGGACCCCCGTGCCAAGGCAGATGCCACTCAACTGCAGAAACAGGAAAACTCGGTGGCAAGAGTTTAAGGAAGAGTTCAATGACTATGCAATCTCACCGACTTATACAAAGAAACAG